ACTTTCATTTCTGGGAACTCTTTGGTCATTAACAGACAGCAGACTTTTCTATCCTCTTTTTTCAGTGTCACAGCTTTGTTCTTTCCTGAGCTTTTGGGAAGATCTACTGGGACCTAGGAGTCAATGATAACAGTTTGGTTTAAAGCGTGACTGTGGCTTTGATGGTTTTTTTTTTTTTGGCAGTATCCAACGGGGCTGCTGTGCATACTAATTAATGTATTGCTAGTGTACGTTACGTCTTCTTGATAGTGTAAGTTGTTGCAGTGGTATTTCTGGAAAACCTGTTGTCCTAACTTACGGTTCCACTATTGCATATTTACAGCATTTCTCTTGGATGAAGATAACAAGTACTTACAGAGGTCCCTAATTTTCATCTGAAAGTATTATAGTGCTTTATTTCCTAATTAAACGTGTTTATGTCATATGAAAGCTTTCCAGATTCATCCTTCCGGTTAACAGAATGACTCTGAATGAAATCAAAAGCTAGATTATTTTTTCCAACCAGCAGTGGTCAATGAACTCTTATTTTCTGTGTGTGCTTCTGTCAAGAGCAAACAGAATGGCAGTTTAACCTCATAAAAGCACTCTTGCCTGTAGATGGAAAAGGTCAATTAAGTCATCACTTCCAACTTCTTGTCAATACAAGATTGTTCCACTAATGCATATTTACCAGTATTTTGTCAATTTGAGTTTTAGAACTGCCAAGAGCAAAGATCCGAAGACCTACTGCACCTGTCACTCACTGGTCATGATGCAGCATACCAATTCTTGCACCACTGGCAGATAAATCACATGTTCCACTAAATGTGATGAATGGAAGCATGGCAGGTTCTTTTTTAATGTAATAGTTGACATGCTCCATCCTCATTTTCAAAAAGGAGGCATGGAGATGATTTTCATTGAGGTAGCAGCTGATAAGGAAATGGTTAAACCTCTCATCTCAGGGCACCGTGATGTCAACCCAAACTTACACTAAAGCAAGTAATCCAGCATGCCTGGGGATGATTTGAAGACTGCTCAGTTCGGTTCGACGCTGCATCCTCTGGACACTTAATAAGTTGGAGCCAGGAAGGCATTGCCTCACACCACTGATCTGATGTTGAGGTAGGAGACAAGGAGAGCTAGATTGCCCAGGCTGGTTCTTCTGCTCTTGCTGGACAGGGATCAGGCCTTCTAATCAGATATGCAGTTCTTTCCGCAGCAGCTGCAGTTCTTTGGATTGCAGTCTGTGTACTTGTTGAGAAGCTTAGATGAGAAGTTTCATCATTCTTGGCTCAGCTGCTGAGGGCGTAACTATGCATGATACCAGTGACCAGTTCGGTGGCCAACCTAAAAGCTCCGGTGGTGGGGACAGACAGACAGACCCACAGTGATTTGGTGGGGATTTAATTTAAAATAGTTTGTGTGCTTTTAAAGGCAAAATTATAAACTGTTTGTAAAATAATTTTTAGGAGGCAAAGAGAAAAGTTTGGGGGATGGACCCCTAGTCCCACTTTTGGCCGTGGGCCTGCTCATGTCATGGTTAACAGTCATTCATTTGTTGTTACCTTTTCACTTGCATGTACGAAATATTTATGCTTTATGTTATTAAATACAAAATCCCAAACTTGCCCTCCACCCTCAGCCAACCCCATTCACATCTCTGTGTTTCACAGTTTTGTGTTCCTCTTCACACACATTGCTTGTTACAGTTTGATTTTTATGGCCAAGGGAGAAAATAGGAAGATAGGTATAGAGAACGTGGAAGCTAAAGGGAATAAGGGAAGACGAAGCAGTACAGAGTTGTTAACGGCATGTGGTTAAACTGTGGAATGCAGCTTAACTGCATACTGCGCTACAAGATGCAGTGGTTGCCACCAGCCTGGAGGGCTTTAGAAGGAAACTGGACAGATCCATGGAGGGGAAGACTAGCATTGGGTACTAGTTCTGATATCTGTAGTTACAATGTTGGAGGCAGCATCCCTGTACACCTGTGGGAAGGCCTGTGTAGACAGAGTGATGGATGGACTAGATGGACTCCTTGGTCTGATCCAGCATGGCTCTTCTTATGGAAAGAGGAGGGGCAAGGAAAGGAGAAGGGCTTTACTGGCTTGTTTGATATGGCATGTTTAGGTTGTTGTTTCTGCATATATTACATAGTGGGTTTTAAAAAAATAAAATCCAGGTATAGGATAGACAAATGATAGTTCTTGGCATTGCAGCAGGTGTGATGGGGAGGGGTTAACCCTTCCCTTCCTAACTGCAATCTCAGTAAAAAAAAATCCCTTTTATGTACACCACCATTAAGAAGAATTAAGAAGAAAAACCTCCCACTCAAGTCAGTGGGATCTGTCCCTCACCCCATCCTGATTCTGATGGCTATGCATGCAGAGAAGGTTTTCTTACTTTCTTTATTAAATAAGATCACAGCTGGGGAGGTAAGGCTTAACCCCTTCAGCCAGGCAGTGAAGTGCCATGCTAAAAGCTATCACCTGGCACCCTGGTATTTTTAACTTGTAAAAATCAACAACAAAACTGTTAATCATAGCATTAGTAAGGGAGAGGGAGTTATACGCTTTCACAGATCAAATGCAATGGATAGGACTAAGAGGTGGGTTGGCAGGCGCTCTGGAGAGGGAACATTTTACATCTTTGGCAGAAGAAATGCAGTCTTTAATGTTATATACATGAACAACATGCAAGTATTAAGTGAGGGGGGATTGCTGAGATTTTAATTTATGTGACACAAGCACGTACTTAACTGAACAGATATTGATTAACTTACAAAGCTTTTGAATATCCCTTATAAATTCAAATAACAAGAATGTATCTTTACTGTGTGTCCTTTCTTCAAACGCATTAGTCTGGAAGATTTTTTTTGGGGGGGGGAGACCTTGGAGAGGTCAGATGCTGTTAGCTGAGGGGTTGTGAGGAACAGAACATTGATTTCAGCTATGAGGTTTAGAAATGGGAAAAATTCCATGTGTCAAATGCTTTTGCAGGTATGCATTTATTGATCTGATAATGAGCTCAGTATGGATTACACAGTGAAGACAAAGGTAATGTCAGACTTCCTGATGTTACCTTGACCTAAAGGTTCTTTGCTTTTCTCAGGTAGAACTTGGTCTCCAATGTGACCTGGTCTGAATGCTAACAAGTCATGTTTCTGCTGCCTGCATCAAAAAGGCAGCTAGTATTGAGTAGTACGGACAGCAGGCAGACAGCTGCTGCAGCTAAGTACTGCCTACTGAGGCAATGAGGCAGCTTTTGGAGCTGCATAGCAATCCTGGCATTATATCTTGGGGACCAGCCAAGTTTTCATGAGTGGAAGGTTTCCAGGCTGTGGTATTGGCTGACCAGTATGGACTGATTCAGGATTCCTTACCTGACTCACAGGTTCCAGGGTTCAGCTCCATGGCACTTGGCAAGGCTTGTGGATGAGTATCATGGAAGGATATGCACCTACTGCTGAGATTGTGGTTCTACAGAATGATGGGAGAGTAAGAGCAGAGGTCCTTTTCAACCCTGCCCACATTTTTGTACCAGGCATTGCATCCCATAGCACCAATCTGTTTTGGAGGGAAATGGATGGGGAGGGAGCAGCCATGACTAAAGTTGCTATTTGGATTAGTCATTACGGTAAATCCTTTTACAATGCCGTTCTTTGGAGATGAGTGCAAGTCCTCAGACTTGGAGGTTCATGGTTGTCTAATCTAAGCAGGAGAAGCAGTGGAGATGATCCTCACCTCCCTGTTCCTTCCACTTCAGATTTTTGCTGGACAACCATTTTCAGCAATCTAGCAATTGTCTTAGGATAGTTCAGATTCTGGCTGTCTCAGTCTCCTTCCCTCCTTGCTTCCTACGACTTCTCTCTGAAGTCACTTTCCTGACCTTGGAGAGAAGTCATGCAGTTCTTTCTGTGCTGGTGGTGAGGAACTGGAGGAGGAGCTTGGAGATCTTATTCTCAGGTCTCAGGTGGAGTGCTCTGCCTGACTTCAGAGCTGGGAATCCGGACTCTCCTGTGACCCCCTCAAATGATGTCTAGGGGCCAAAGGATCATCCCCTTTAAGATTATTTCAGTGTGGTGCTGGGGTTTTAACACTATATCATCATGTAAGTCTTCTAGTATACAAACCCATGAGCATGTTCTACTTAGCATTACTTCATTCATGATGGATTTTAGGACTTCGACATGGGTGAGTAGTCCTATGCTGTTCACTCAGCCTTTCAGATATTTACAAATTGTAAAACTGTTCATGTGTGTAACTCAGGATCAAGAAAGACTAGCTTAAGCCCTATATGTGATTTCTTGTAAATTCAATTACTGACATTTTGGTTTTAGTTCATAGGATTAATTTGAGTTTAGTGTTTACTTCAGCACTTCCATAGTTGTATTTAAAACTTTTGAATAACTACTGTATATCAGATTCCTGAGAGGGGGAGGGGGGAGGGAGGGAGGATGGGGAGAAAAGAGAGCACATTTTTGAAGCAATGTTAGCTAACCTTACAATGATAAACATAGTTCTATTTTTTTAGTAATTACCAGTTCTTTTTGGTTTTCTCTTTAGCTCTTTGAAAATTATTTATAGGGAAATTGAAATTTTGTGTTATGGATTCTGTGTTGCCTGCCTTATTCAAGCTATTCTGTTTTAATTTTCAGAGTAGTGACACATTCTCTAAAGTTATACAAAGAGAAGAAAGTTAAAGGACACATAATTTTCCACACAGGTGTGTCCTGAGAGGCTTTTGTTACTGCAGTCCCTGTCATATCTAACTTTTCATTGGCTTTGAAAGTTGTTAAACCTGATGGATAACTTTATCTTTTCCAATCAACAGGGGAAGTGATGTGGTAACCAGTGTGTCTCAGACCCAAACTGGTTTGTGTTTTAAAATGTGCTGCTTGGAAAAGGCTTCTCTTCAGGAGATAACAAAGAACAAAGCAGAACCTAACCCAAAAGCTCCGTACTTGGAAAGCATTTAACTGGAGCTCCATTTCTGGAGTGTTTCTCTGGGATGAAGAGATGGCTGCTGCAGCTTTGCAATTTGCTGGACTGATCCTTGGCGGCATTGGTGCAGTTGGGACTTTTGCCATTACTGGCATGCCTCAGTGGAGAGTGACTGCCTTCATTGAGAACAACGTTGTGGTTTTTGAAACCATCTGGGAAGGCCTCTGGATGAATTGCATAAGGCAAGCTTCCATCAGGATGCAGTGCAAGGTGTATGACTCCCTCCTGGCCTTGTCCCCTGACCTCCAGGCTTCGAGAGGCCTGATGTGTGCAGCTTCTGCTTTGGCATTCCTTGCTTTTGCTGTGGCCATTCTTGGTATGAAGTGCACCCAGTGCACGGGAAATGATGACCGAATCAAGGGATATATTTTGCTGGCGGGTGGCATCACTTTCATTTTGTCTGGCATCATCGTGCTTATCCCAGTGTGCTTTGTTGCCCATAACATCATCCGAGACTTCTACAATCCAGTTGTCACAGTAGCTCAGAAGCGAGAGCTCGGGGAAGCCCTTTACATAGGGTGGGTATCCGCCTTTTGTCTCGTGGCTGGAGGGGCAGTGTTTTGCTGTTTCTGCAAGTGCAATGAGAAAACCAGAAGCTATCGGTATTCGGTGCCTTCGCAACCCACAGCTTACCGCAGCCACAACATCCAAAGAAGAGCTGAGAGTTCCTACTCTAAAAGTCAATATGTTTAGACAACACTTGATCCACCGCTCCTTTACTATCAGGCGGGAAAACTAACTGTTTAGAAGAAATTTGCTACTACAACTTGGAGCAAACTCCATGGGACTCTGTATGAACCCCAAGACAAAGTAAGCTCTGTGACACAAGTGTATCAAGATGCTTCAGTGTAGGCTGAAAAATTGCAGCTGGATCTTGTCTATTTTTTTAAAAAAGTAGCATCTATTAATAGCAATATATATTTTCATTTTAACAATGATTTGAAATAGTTTTAATGGCAATGGGATGTGGGAGGGTACATCAAAACTAAAATGCTAAGATTTAATGGTGTCCACTATATTCTAAATACTGGCTTAACATGTAAAAATATAAGTTTTTTTTTTTTTTTGGAACGGTGGAGGTAAAGGGAAAAAATTGAAGAGCAAATTATAGTAAATCTATATTTGTTTATTTTTATGTTTTTTAACCGAAGTATTGTTTAACTGTGCAAAACCATATCATATCTGATTTTTTTCAGTGTCAACATATATTTCAATGTATATTTTCTACATTTTCTGAAAATATTTCCTTATTTTCTTCAAAAAGGATTAATTATTTAGTGCTAATAAAATGTAATTTGTTTCCTTAGAGTTCAATTGAACTATGCTTTGCAATTAATTTTGCATGCATTGTATCTTAGTCCATTATTAAATAAATTTAATGCATTTTAATAAAAATATTTAAAGCTGCTCTTGTAACAATTTTTGTATGACCTTCCTAACTGCTCACAGATATATCTAGTCAAAAGTCAAATCCTGCTATCTAAAGGTATATGAAGTTGTACAAAATGGAAGCCAGGATGAGGGAAAGTTTCAGCTTTCTCTCCTCTAACTGAATTCCAGTACATTTCTAGCATCAAGTGTGGCACCTAGTATTTGTATTTAGGCTTCTTGGACTTATTAGGGATATGTGAAAAAGTCATTTGATTTGCATTTTAATGTCAACTTAAGACATTTCCAATGGTGTAAACTGGTGTCCTGCAATAGCAGGTGGTTGGACCTGATGGCCTTCATGGTCCCTTCCAAATCTACTGTTCTATGATTCCAAACCTACACATGAACCAGTATGCAGTTAAATGGAACTATCAGTACTTTTCTGAATATTGCAAGGCAATTTGCAAAATTTCAAAAATGCATGTAATAGGACATAGTATTATAAACATTTATTACACTGGGGAAATCACTCATGTGTACATTAGGGAGGATGTGTGTGTACTAAAATGTGTACATTAAGCAAAGAGTATGAAAAATATGTACAGATTTTTTGCAGACTTTTAGAAACATATTTGCAAAACAATATGGAAACGGAATGAATATAATGTAGGAAAAATAAGAATCTGGGCAGAACTGAACTCGACATAGTTATCCATCTCAAGTATCAATGTATATTTTCTAACAGAATATGACTGTTTGTGAGGTGCAAACACAGTGTAGTTTAGGCTTACTGATTTAATTGGCCTGTTGGAAATGGAAACTATTCTTGCTACAAAAACTGTGAAGACTCCTTGCATTTTTTTTAAAGTTACTAAATAAATGAAGGGGTTGGTCACATAACATATAAACATGTTTCTCAGTATGTTTCAGCCAGTACCTCAGTTTTAATATTCTGGTTGTTCCATGCCTTGAGGGCCAACCAATCCTGCATACCTCACCCCACCACAAAGATCTTGCAATGAGTGCTTCTTATCCTGAATCTCAACCCTGCTCCACTTCTTAGCTCATGAGCTTATTTTTCCCAGAAGCAACATTAGGCTACTTGTTTGCTGGCTTTCTAAAAAACCAAGAGCAAAACTAGGCATGCCATCAATTGGGTGAATGCAGTTAATACACATTTATTGGAATGCCACCTGTGGAGAAACTGAGAACATCTAGTTGTCACCAATGGAATTACGATGACAAGTCATAATATAGTCTACAGAAGACAGCCCTCTGGGTTGAGTGCTGCCATAGGCAGTCCTCTTTCTGAAGGGCTGTGCAGTCTAAATCTGGTTTAAAGCTAAAAAAACCCTAAGAAGGGGAGCAGCAAGGCCTTGAAGTCGTTCATCAGCCGTGAGCCCCTGGATGGCAGAAGGAGCAGGCAGGCCACCCGGTCACACTCTTCTCCAGTACAATATGATGCACTTCATTTCTATTTAAATTACAATCATTATGTCAAAATATGCCTCTTTATATGTAAATCAGCATAGGCAATATTATGCAAATCCACACCCTCTTTTGTTCTCTTTCCTGGTGGTGCATAAGTAACCAACCTGTTGAAATGCGAAAAGCAGCTTCAGACAGGCAAGTTTTCTTCAGGCATGGAACAGAAAAAGAAAGAGTACCCCTCTGCACCTCCTGAAGACTACTGCTTCACAACTGGCACCGTTTGAAGGTTTGAATTGTCCTTCATCCTAGGAGCAAACAAAATTTTAGAAAATCGGACTGGTGTAGCTAGTGATGTGTCTGGTCTGTTCGAAGCACCGCATCCAGCAGGAACTCTGCTTTTTGGCTGCAAGCAACATCCTTGGTCTGGTTGCATTGCATGTGCAAAGCAATAGGCTAAGCTATCACGCTGGGTCAGACTGTGCCCTGTCTTCAGCTTTTGTCTGCTGGTTCAGTAGGATATGAAATTACATCTTGAGACTGTAATTCTGATCCCATTTACCTGGGAGCAAGCCTTGCTGCACTCAACGGGATTTATTTCTTGTGTAGACATGCACAGGATTGTGCTGTAAGAAACTGAAAAATCTATAAAGCATTCTTAAATGAATTTAGAAAAACCTGTAATAACAGCTAGAATGCTCAGATTCCTAAAGGAATATGATTCAGGTGTAATCAAGGTAGACAGCTGCTGAACATTGAATTTTCATACAACTGCCAAATCATTACAATGGAAAGAATATAGCAACACAATCCTCCCTTTAAAACTTGGCTTATAAGGTTTTATACAGAAGTTAGCTATATTTTAGAGGGGAGAAGTAGATGGAATCATTTTTTTCTGCTATAAAGGTCTCAATCAGTTCAAAGTAATCTCTGTTTTGTATCCTATTAGACTATTATTTACAAAGTTCATATTGCAGTATATTGTGCTGTTGCAGAGAAATTGTCCTCTGCTGACTGCAGCCGATTATTGTGTGTGCTGACAAAATGTCTTTCAATTGTCTAAATGCCTTCAGCTACCTGTCATATTGATATGAACAGGTTATCATGGAACACGGCAGCATTATTGCCAATAGCTGTTTTACCATTTTACCATTGTGCTCCACTGAAGCTGAAATGTACCTTAAATAGCACCGGTATTGATTACCTCAAGAAAAATATGAGAACTAAGTAGAGTCATACAAATGAGTTGCCATGCGAATCTGCCATTTTTGGATGACTACCATGCCACACATTGTGTGATAGGTGTATGGGTATGTTTCAGGAGCATCAACCCTAGCAGACACATGCCACCTCTGCGAACTGAGATAGGGGCATACTGATTTGTAAGGGGAATAAACTTCCTCTCTAAATAGTCATTTAAGGCACTATCCTTCACTGTGATCCTTAGCACAATGGCTTTAACTTATAGCAAAAAATAAAGAGAAAGCCAAATGCATAGCATACTTTGGAATTCTGGAGAATACACCCAGTCATTGTCTCTGTTTGCAAAATTCACAATAGCTATGGTCTCAGCTTGCTTCTCTTCCCCCAGAGTTCTGTAATTATTCCATCATTTGAGACAATGTGAATGCCTTAGGCATGCTTATCCCTTTCTGACAAAAATAAATGCAAACTACCTTTTAGCTGGTATGACCTAATCCTGTTCCCCAAGAAAATGCTTCAGATATTTTGCAACTCTTAGCTACAGAAGCTTTATGTGAATAGCTTCAGTGGTCTCTGATTAGCCCCCACCTCTCAGAAGAGAGAGGAGTTATTTATATAATCTGTTCTGGAATTATTAGACCTAAATTATTAGATTATTACTTATCTAGTCAGGGCAGTTGTGTTTGCATGCTTCTAAAATACCACTTTGTATTTAGTACCACTACCCCTTTTTGAGCATTTACTTCCTGTGTCCAGCATCGTACCCATACCATCATGGCAGACAAGGTTTTCAGTCCTTTAGTCTTCTGAAATGGTTTGTGAGTAAACGGGCTCTACAACTGGAAATTAACTTAATAGTGGATAAATTCACAATAAGCGATCTTTCTGAAGGGGAGCCATTGTCATGCTCCCAGATGTCCTGCCTCCTCTGGAGGAATCCTTGTTAGAGAAAGGACAAGAGGCTCCAGAGACAGTCTTGCTAGGGGACAGGGCCTTGTGTGGGGGGATCTGTGGCCCCATTCTACAAGAGGGAAAAAGGTCCACTTCTGACACAGAGGCTGGGTGACCACTTAGCTCTTGAGATCAGCAGCATCTCAGGGGATATGCCAAAACTAGATCTGTGAGAAATCCCTAATTGTGCAGGAAGTCACGTCATAAGCAAAGGGCTTGTTTTGAGCAGGACCTATATTTCTTTCTTAAGAGGAGAACTACTTCCAGCATTTTCTAAGCCATTGCTGTAGTAACTTCATGTAGGCTGGAAGCCTGCTTTAAATAAGCCCTCAGTTGAAAATTGCTAGCCGCTGAAATTGCTGAAACAATTCTAAAATTGCTGAAACAACAGCTTATCCCTCTCCTTGTAGCCTTTTTGATTGGAATGATATCATGTACTGCTGACTCCAGAAAAGATGGTTCTTCTGGGTGGCTTCTTTTGCCTGATGCTGGGCACTTTGCCAAATGCGTTTACCCCAGTGCTAAACCTGGTCCATAGCTAATTGGAGAGGCCACAGCTTAGTCTTGGACTGCATGGTGGAAAACCTACTTTATGATTCCTTGGAGGCTATTGCCATTCAGTGTAAGAAAGTCCTGTTCTAGGTGGACCATTGGTTGGAAAACCATTGCTGTTGGAAAACAAATGCATATATGTGTCCCTACTGGTGCAAATGTGAATGTATTGTGACATCACAGAACTGGCTGAGTTTCAACTGATCCAGTTAGCACAAATGATTAAAAGGTTAAAGCTCTTTAACGAATGATGGCTCATTCTAATTAGCTCTAATTTACTGGAGTTTGCAAATCTACACTTGTATGAAGTTGTTACAAGTGATGATTAAAACTACCCTTAAAGGATAAAAGTAATTTTAGTAGAGAAGAATATAACCCTGACTCCCAAATAAACAAGCCAATTTTAATGAGTGCCCTTGAAGTTTGCAAGGAGTCAGGGCAAAAGTGCTTTGGATATATGCTAGACCATTTGATTCTGTCTTCTGAGATAATTTTTTTCTGAGAAAAGCTGTTGATGGACAATTCTGCAGCACTTTGAGAGACCCTGAACAATTTGAGATAGGTCAGTGGGAAGTAAAAGAGGTTCCATTGCAATTTCATTTTTAATGCTGCTGTACTGTAGTGTCATGTATTTTATTATTTTGTGACATTTTTATGACAGTTTTATTGTCTGGCATTCAAAAGACCTCCCTTCCTTTCAGTTTGAACTTGGAGCTGAGGTTGATCTGAACTTTGAACTCTATAACAAAACTTATTATCTTTGTGAATATAGACATCTATGCCTTAACACTTGCATGTAATATAATAATAAATTAGATATATTTAGTTAATATTAATACCTATACAGCAGATAAGAATTGCATAGTCTTGTGAATAAACTGCCTTTATATTGAGGATTCCCCTAAAATTTCTTTGATGTCTCTGATTCTACCCTGAAAGAAACATATACAGTAGTGGGCTACATAGGACTAAAACATATCTTTTAAAATGTGTGCCTTGCGGTAAAAAGTCTTTCCATTTTTACTTCACATAACCACAGGGGTCTGTTTGTTTATTTATAATATTTGTAGACTGCCTTTCTTTACTTCCAAGGAATGCAGTACAGTTTACACAATCCTCCTCCTCCTATTTATTTATTTATTTATTTAAAAAATTCTATGCTGTCCATTACTAAAAAAAGTCTCTGGGCAGCTTACAAGGAACAGGAAATCAAGAACAAAACTATTGATGTTAACCTCCCAACAACAGCCCTAGCTTAGGGCTGATAGTCTGTGATAGAGTCAGCCAAATAAGCTCCATGACTAAGTGGGGACCAAAACCTGGCGCTCCTAGATCCCCAGTCCATCACTTGAACCACCATGCCGCACCGGGTTCTGTTAAACCAGATTTGAAGAGCATTTTGTGTGTCGCAACAGTTTGATACCCAGAAAGCATAGGAGCTCTATTCAGTTATTTGTTTTTAAAATTATTAACAAGTTATACATGTTAATTACCTCTTCTTGCAGACATGTGGAGGAGCTAAATAGCATACAATGTTGGGTGGAGCTACTTAGCACAGCCCCATCTGGATTGCATGATTAAGTAACATTCATGTTTTCCAATGCCTGAATGGGGCTTTTGTTTGAAAGAATTAATGTGAAGTTCCCATCAAGGTCATCACGGGCATGTGCATCCTTCTGGGTGCATGTACATATAGTATACATGCTCTAAGAAGCTGTGCCCAGTCCCCATTTCTGATTGCATTTACACACATTCAGAAGCCCATGCATATGATAATTCTCTTATAATTATACATGGGTTACTCTATGCCTCTTATGTGGAATTTTGTAACTTCTGAGCAGACCTAGCCATTGGCCTTAGAGTGAGAAAGCCAATCAGTGAGGCAAGGCGTTGATAGAAGGCTGGATATACTGGTCCCAAGCCAACAACAAAACCTTGAGTGAACAGGAGCTCAGTAGTTAACAGGAAAAAACTGTTGGCTGTGCTGTTTAATCAAAGAAGCCTCAATTATGTTTATCCTGAGTTGTCTTAAATATGTATGGATCCAGTAACAAACAGGAAATCTGCCAAGAGATTGGGTGGGCAGAATGGCAAAAGTATATGATATATGCAGCATTATTTCTATTTCTATCATTATTTCTGTTGTAGTTGGAGTGTCACTGTGTCTATATATACAAAAATGACAATAGCATGTTCTTTGCAGCATTAGCAAACATCTAAACCCCACCCTAAATACATCCTTATATTTTTGTCAACAGCACATTGTTGATTAATGTGACATTTTTACCAAGCTTAGTTAACCCATTGTGTTTTGACAGTGATGCAATAACTATTGCTGCAGAATCATGATCAGTACTGTAATTGGGCATCTTAAATTAGAGCTTGATCATTTAATTAGAGCTTTGTAGCAACACTAAAATGCACACAAAAAGCAACAACATTAGGTGGCATACGCCTGGACTCACCCTTAGACAGCATGCAATTGGCTAGGAAGTTATTAGGCCTTGACGTCTTACAGAACTGCAGAAGAAATATATAGAAGCTCCTTCAACCTAGACAGGGATAATTTTTGTCCTGCTTGTTCTTCAGTGGGAGGAAAGTAACTGCCTTACATTCATTTGCAACTCGAGGAAACTATGAGAACTTTTTCACCGCTTGACAGACTTCAAGATCTTTAGGAAAGTATTTGGGATCATTTTTGTTGTTTGGGCTCACTCTTCTGAGAAGCCATATGGCATGTTGTGCATTGCAAACGGTGGCCCTCATGCTTGGGATTATCGGCATGGCTGGAACATTTGCTACTACCCTGATGCCTCAGTGGAAAGTATCTGCCTTTATGGGAAACATTATAGTCTTTGAGACGATTTGGGAAGGGCTGTGGATGGTGTGCGTCAGTCATATCAAGAAGCATCAGTGCAAGTTCTATGGGTCCCTATTGGCCCTTCCAACAGCCTTAGATGTATCCCGAGCGCTCATGTGCATAGCCTGCGTACTGTCAGTCATTGCCTTCCTGGTAGCCCTTGCGGGCATGAAGTGCATCCGATGTCCTGGCAATGACGAGCAAGTCAAGAGCAAGATTTTGTTGGCAGCTGGAGCCCTTTTTCTTCTGACTGGAGTTATTGTGCTGAGTCTTGTTTCCTTTGTTGCTCACAATATCATCAAGGACTTCCACAATCCTGCTATCCACGTTACCCAGAAACGTGAATTGGGAGCTGCCCTCTATTTAGGCTGGTCCACCTCAGCTTTTCTAATCAGCAGTGGAGCCATATTTTTCAGCTTCTGCCACTGCACAGAAAAGCCTGGAAGATACAGGTATTCATTGCCATCTGGCCATCGACTAAGCCAACCTGAACATATCAGAATGAAGCCCCTGAGTGTACACTCTTATGTCTGACATAGTTGCATATGTGAGCTTGTTGTATCTATAGATACCTGTGTTCTGGCAAGACTACGGTCACTGCTTTATAATCCTTCTAAGCTGAAATAAAATATGGGGCCTGTGATTGTTTGCAAGGTCAAGAATGCATGTTGCTTTATCCACCAATAACACTACTACAGTCAAAAGATGTTTCCTTTGTGTGCCTGCTCTTTTCATTGTCGTTAAAGATGTTGAGTGAAGGAATTTCAAGATTCAGCAGTGCTGCATTACAGAAAATTAAGCAATCTCCAATCATTTTGGACCAATCAATATAGTGTTAAAAATGGTGGACCATAAATATACATGCACATTTGAAAAAACTAGCCCTAGAACTCTTCTTGGGAGGATAAATCAATAGCAAATATTTACTATCATTCTTGTCATGTTTAATTCATCATTCTAATGCAGTTATGCACATTTCTTGGTTTCAATAACATAAGTTACCAGCTATTAGAACATCTTCTCAAAGTATTAAATTTTCCCTGCTAAATCACTTGGTGCATTGAACAGCCTGAATGTCATTCTTGAGATGGCAGCAAATACATACTTCAGATGGGATGTGCCAACTGCTGCGAAAAACCAGCTTTATAGCCCAGGGAAATAGTGAAGCTTTTCCAGTATGTTACAAGGCATGAACATCAGTGCAAATGTTTGGGGGGGGGTGTATAGTGTTGAAACTATAGAAAATGTTGTTATGAATGTTGCCTAGCTGTTCCCAGCTGTATCTTCTCTTGGGCAGATTGCTTGGGAATTACCCAGGATGGTTTGTTACCTGATATTTTCTCAGTGGGAGCTAATGGTTGAGAATGCATTTTCAGCTGAACAAGGGTCAGTTAGTGAACAGATCACTAATAAGACAGCAGCTACCTCATGTTTGTATCTAAAAGATGCAACACAAATGAAAATGGATTGAGAGGGAAGAGGGAAAAGGCAAATTCAGCATTAGGTCTTTGCCAGAGAAACAGAGTGAAAGCATAGGCAGAACTATTTCAGAACAGCAGTATGCAATTCTTCAGTAAATGCATGTAACTTTTGGCTGTTGTCCAATATGTACTTGTCTCCTGTGATTCCCACTATAAGAGGGCTTAATTCTGAGTAGACACACAGAAGATTTCACAGGATATATAAGTTCACAGAAATTCAGTTAGAAAGATACCAAATATCTTCACCTCCAGATTGCATTTAAATCTGTGGGGGGTGTGTGTGTGTGTGTGTGTGTGTGTGTGCGCGCGCGCGCGCGTGAGAGAGAGAGAGAGAGAGAGGGGGGAAAGATGTAACCAATCTTTCCTATCTTACACACTTTAGGAAAGCAGTGTGAATATTTCCCTTGAAAGATATAAAATGTAAAGAAACCTGGTGTCCCATCTTTGCTGCATTGTTTCAAGGACATCATTGAATTAAAAGTCTTCCATAGTTTCTTTTTTATCAGTTTCTATATAGTTCGATTTGAGTAATTTCTTATTGTCAGGTGAATTGTGATTTGGATTTCATTGAAATATCAGTAATGTCTACTCAGTAGATTATGGGGCTTTATCAGTTTTGAAAACTTTGTTGTTGAAAACTTTAAACACAGTAGAGATATGAGAATCTTACAATAAATATCTCACTTGCTCTTGTAAATGTCACTTTTTGGCTGGACGAATCAAAAGAATATCAAAATATTTTGTATAAAGGATTTATATCACCATTCCTTGATGCAGAACAATGGTCCAGCTAGCTCAGTGTTGCCTGCACTTGGAAGAGTGGCAGCTATTTAGGTTTCAGGCAAGAACCCTTCCTAGTTGTGCTTGGAGATGCTGGCACTTCTACAGCTCCTCACAAGATGTGGTCCTTTCTTCCCACTTGCGTGTGCCCATCATTATTTTAATGCAGGACAGGGGCCAGATTCAATTCTGGAAAAGCTCCGAGGGTCATATTCCACTGGGTGTGTCTGAAGGCAAAAATCAGGTGGGGCCAAAACCCATGTATTGTGAGAGGCAATATCATGTTTGAAAGGGAGGGGAAACCATGCAAATGGCAGGTGAACAGGGGAAAAAGGCATAGCTATGAGCAAAGCCTCAGAGAGTTGGGTTGGGACCCCTGTGTTTCTGCACCCCATTGCAGAAATACTTCTTCTGCCTCACATGCTTGATAATTTGACAAATGTGGGTTTGATTCCTTAGGAAATAACTGTGTTTGTAAAGGTAATGTATATTTCTATCCTGAGGGATGCTTTATTCTTCTTTTTCTTTTGCTTCAATAGTTTTGCGTTAGTTGGGAATTAAAAGGAAGCAGAGACTTCAGGGAGGTATAATCGCTAAAATTAGCATCCTTGTTTTTAGTGTTTAAAATTCTAGTCCCAGGTTTCTGAGGTAATGGGAAAATAAGCTTACATGCATGTTTATCTTCTTGCTGCATTATGGATTCAGATAATGAAGCTTGCTATCTGAACAAGCACTGCTAATTAAAATAAATTTTAAAAGAGAAGTACCATCTTGATCAAGGTTTCTTTATCAGATCTGAAGAAGTGGCTGCTTGCCACTGTAATGATTCCTGCTGTAAACTGCAACACATAAAAAGGTTGAATGCAAATTATGGGGATGTATTTACATTTCAATACTGATGATAATAAAGCATGAGATTTAAATGACAATAATATTTAAAACAATAGCTATGCTTAAAGTGACTAAGATTAGAAAAAATACCAGTAAATCTCACATCCTAATCTTATGGATATTTACTCAGAAGTTCTCAGGTTCAGTGGGTCTTACTCCCAAGTGCATGTTCTAAGGTTGAACGCTAAGTGAAGCCCCCCACTCTGCACGAACAGTCTCATTCCCCTCAATGCTGGGCAAGGCTCCTCTCCCACAGTGAAGAGGTGCTTGTGGGGGCTGGAGCAATAAATCACACCACCACCTCCTTGAAGGAAAGAGTGAACTGCTGAAAGGCACCTGGATTTCTCAGTGTTGGGGAAGCATTCCTGGTAGGGTATCTCATGATGGCCAGCATTTCCTTTAGGGAAGGAATTTGTGGGGAAGAGGGCTTGCTGCTGAGGATCCTGTTCTTGATGAAGTGTGTGGTTTCAGCTGGTAGGGAAGTATATGGAACAAGGTATAAGTGGCAGGCAGTGCAGCTCACCCATCCACAGTAGCATCAGACTGCCTTTTGACGTGTTGAAAAGGATGTTCTTCTTCATGGTGTTCATGGTGGGATAAACATTCCCTGTGCCTATTCTTGGGGGTACCTTTGTTATGCGGAAAAGTGCCTCCTACGCAAGTAGAGTTACACTAACGCCCAACACAACTTGACAGGTGGGACAGCATGCCGTGGAAGCGTAAGTGTCATGGATTGGGGGTTCTGAGTCTGTTTCAGCACTTCAGGGGCTGCATGGGGCAGTGGGGACAGGGAGGGCCGTTGCGGCTGGACTGCTGCTTGGGACGTGGTCTTAGCCCCACCACCGGTATCAGGGAAAAGCTTCTCCATAGTCAGTCTGCTCAGGGTTGAGCATGCCATGGGGCTCTTAGAGAAGGATAGCCAGAGAGAGAATGACACGGATGGTTTCCTCCTGACTCACTTTGATCATTTAATTACTGGTCTTAAATCAATAAAGCTGTGGCCAAATTTTAAAACCAAAGATCGGCCAGCCTCTTTCTTGCCAAATGGAATGCTGTGTTTGGATTCACAAATGTGTGGCCCCTACTGGCACACACCCAGTAGCATTAATGCAATTATTTCCATCTCAGCAGAATAACCCCTTCCCCCCTGCCATACCAAACATGGATTTCTAAACTCCTCTAAGTTTAATAAATAACTAGGTGTGTGATGTGGAGGATGTTTTTTTTAGAAATCGAATTCAGCACCTACCAAGATGAATTGAACAAGTTTCTCTCTTTGTAGTTCAGCTAAAGCAGTAAAAATATAGGGCATCTTTTGCCCTTTGGCCCATGTGTGATCTAAAATCCGAGTCCTGCAGACTGTTAGTTTTGGGGAAATGGACTTGCCTTGAAACAGAAAGAAACTCTTACTGAAAAAGAGTTTGAAAACAGAAGGGAGAGATGAGGTGAAGCTTGCACCATATGTTAACGCTAATTGGAAAAAGCATCCGGCATTTGACATCCATATCCCCCATTTTTGTGCATGTGTGAGCAGTTTCAAGTTTCAGTCTCCTGTGTTTTGTCAAGTTGTCTTTTAGTACCAGATGACAAAGATGTTGGGTAATATATTTGCATTTCAATTTCTATTGGCTGCATAGGTGACTGACAGAAACTAATCTATGATGCTTTCATTAAAGATGGAATGCCATATGGTGACAAGTCAGTAAGGGAGCTTCAACCCTGAAAATCAGGGTGCTTCCAGATGAAGGGCTTATTGCTCTGTTGCTCTTCTTCATTTACAGGATTTTATGGATAGGCCCAAAGGTTTCTGAACTCCATTTGCGAACCTCCTGTGTCTCATGTTCATGTAATTATCTTCTCTGTTAGATCCTTCTTCATGAAGGATTTGCAGGGGATTACATGAAATCTATTAGCATTGTAAACTGGTTCCCTTTCATGTGGGAGGTTTTCTGAAGGTAGTGGTGATCTTGAAAGTCAGACAAACCCAGGAAACATGGGTTGGTCAATCTTGGGCATTTGTCAGTCCCTCTAGCTGGGGTATTAAGTTCATATTACACTATGTTGGCAGCTGAGATCCTGAACAGCCATGGTGTAGAACCTTGTCCTTATTCCCAATTTTCCTACATCTGATAAAATACCAAGCTAGGGTGCAGAGAGGTTAAGTTAGTGCCATGGAAGATCTGGGGAGTGGTCTGTCAAGTCATGATAATTTAGTACAAAAGGCATAGGACTGGAAGAGCATTGAGCTGTGTCCTGGGTCTCCCATCTATCTTTCGTTAGGATGACCCTGGAAATCATTCCATACAATTGTTTGAAAATCACTGCCTGAATTGGATTAAGAGATTTCTTCCAGTATGACCACCTACAGTTACATAGTTTAAT